TAAACTGAACAGGTTTTACAGTCATTTGACGAACATAAATGTAATAATATGTCAACATTATTCCATTTCTGGAACAAAGAGGGGGTCAATATCAAAAGTAGCAGTCAGTATCCTGTGTGTGCACCAGCATCTTATCCTCATGGACTGCACCAGATTTGCCACTTCTTGCTGTGAGACCGTACTCCACCCTTCCACAAAGGCATTTGCACATTCCCGAACATTTCTGGAGGACACATGGTTACATGGGGTTTCACATGGCAAGGACTATCAGCTGCCCTTCCTATCTCCCTGTAGCACTGTCTTAGGCCTCTTACATTACAGACAATGCAGATTATTGCTGTGGCCAAATCTGCAGTCCTCATGTCTAGGACTATGGCATGTTCACACAGGTGATCAGGAACATGGGCATCTTTCTTCGTTTTAGAAAGGTCTCATAACTGTGATCTTAATTGCCTACCACCTGTAAACTGTCAGTGTCTTCTTAAGGACTGTCCCACAGGTGCATGTGAAGTAATTGTTTATGATTCACTGAACAAGAAAGAAAAACATTGTTTAAGCACTTTCTGATAAAGATCTGAAATGCTTATTTGGATTTTATCAAATTATCTTTCAAATGCATTATCCTGAAAAAGGGACATTTCTTTCTTAATTTCTTTTTCTTTTCTTTTTTTTTATTTGCTGAGTTTATATGATTTGATGTTGATGATTTGCCATGTATTTTTTGGGGGGCTAAAGATTAGTTATGAATTATCTGATTATTTTAATTAATTGATTAAAATTGTCCTAAAATGATAGCTGTGGAGTGATGGTGAGTGTGATTTGACCAAGTACAACATGTTCCTGGATCAACATCCTTGTTGATCCTGGAACATCATTCCAATTAACCAATCAGAATTGAGAGATGACTTTTCAGGAAATATCTGTTTTAGGCTTACAATCAGGATTAGGTGCTTCTACACCCTTGTTAATCAGCTATCATTTCACACTGATTTTAGAAATAAATTACGGGTAAGGTTAGGTTTAGGGGTAGGGATTGGGTTAAGTCTGTATTTTTGGACAGTAATGTTGATCCAGGATCAACAAAAGATGTTGATCCAGGAACATGTCTTACTTGGCAAAATCACGGCGACCGTGAAGTAATGTGTGTGTGTATGTTTTTTAAATACAATTTTATGTTTCTAAAAATGAAAAAGCAAGATGTTTCCTGTCTGGGTTATGGATTTCTTTTTGGATTATGCATTAATGAATAATGTGCAGCAAAATAAGGTTCTGGAATGGGATAGTGCATTATTAATAAAATTATTTTATGTTCGTATTTTATTTTTGTGAATTGTTCATAGCATTCATAGTCTTTCAATGTCTACTTGTTTCAGAACAATGTCAGCGGGAGATTGATGAAGTCCTTGGTGATCGTGAACATGTCACATTTGAGGACAGAAACACCATGCCTTACATTCAAGCAGTGATTCATGAGGGTCAGCGTGTTGGTGACATTGTTCCTCTTAGTATTTTTCACACCACTACAACCAACGCTCAGCTCCGGGGCTACAACATCCCAAAGGTGACGTTTACTATAATTACTGAATGGCAACAGCAGTTTCATCATACAGTTATAGAGTTACTATGGCACATATAAAAAATTACATGAAAGAGTAATTAAGAACAACTATCCATTATTTAATCTTAACAAATCAATCCATTACCAAACTATTATTGCAAGCCCTAAACAGCATCTTTACTGTAAACGGAAAGGGAGGATTGCTAATTTAAAACATTTGCTCTTACAGGGGACAATTATCATCCCCTATCTGTCATCTGCTCTCAGAGAGGAAAGTCAGTGGAAGTTTCCCCATGAATTCAACCCTCAAAACTTCTTGAATGATAAGGGGGAATTTGTGAAGCCTGATGCATTCATGCCTTTCTCTGCAGGTATGTTATAAATGTTTGTTAATCAGCTATCATTTCCCTCTGATTTTAGGAATAAATTATGGGTAAGGTTAGGTTTAGGGGTGGGGATTGGGTTAAGTCTGTATTTTTGGACAGTAATGTTGATCCAGGATCAACAAAAGATGTTGATCCAGGAACATGTCTTACTTGGCAAAATCACGGCGACCGTGAAGTAATGTGTGTGTGTATGTTTTTTAAATACAATTTTATGTTTCTAAAAATGAAAAAGCAAGATGTTTCCTGTCTGGGTTATGGATTTCTTTTTGGATTATGCATTAATGAATAATGTGCAGCAAAATAAGGTTCTGGAATGGGATAGTGCATTATTAATAAAATTATTTTATGTTCGTATTTTATTTTTGTGAATTGTTCATAGCATTCATAGTCTTTCAATGTCTACTTGTTTCAGAACAATGTCAGCGGGAGATTGATGAAGTCCTTGGTGATCGTGAACATGTCACATTTGAGGACAGAAACACCATGCCTTACATTCAAGCAGTGATTCATGAGGGTCAGCGTGTTGGTGACATTGTTCCTCTTAGTATTTTTCACACCACTACAACCAACGCTCAGCTCCGGGGCTACAACATCCCAAAGGTGACGTTTACTATAATTACTGAATGGCAACAGCAGTTTCATCATACAGTTATAGAGTTACTATGGCACATATAAAAAATTACATGAAAGAGTAATTAAGAACAACTATCCATTATTTAATCTTAACAAATCAATCCATTACCAAACTATTATTGCAAGCCCTAAACAGCATCTTTACTGTAAACGGAAAGGGAGGATTGCTAATTTAAAACATTTGCTCTTACAGGGGACAATTATCATCCCCTATCTGTCATCTGCTCTCAGAGAGGAAAGTCAGTGGAAGTTTCCCCATGAATTCAACCCTCAAAACTTCTTGAATGATAAGGGGGAATTTGTGAAGCCTGATGCATTCATGCCTTTCTCTGCAGGTATGTTATAAATGTTTTACTACACTGTGTAATGAGGTCTTTGATTAAACACTGTGGATATTTTATCAATAGCACTCATTTAGCCTAGTGCCATTGGTGGACGTCATTGAGCTGATTAATTTCACATATTACACAAACAAGAGTCAGTATGATTTTAACAATACAGTACATGAATAAAATCAGTAGACAGTGTATCTGTGTGGTAGAATGAGAACAGTGTGTTTGTATAATGTACATTTACTTTATTCTCTAGGATCTCGTGTGTGTTTAGGAGAAAATCTAGCTCGCATGGAGCTCTTCCTCATCCTGGTCACGGTGCTGCGGCGATTCCATCTGGTCTGGCCGGAGGATGCAGGAGAACCGGACTTCAAACTTATATATGGTGGGACACAGTCAGTGAAACCTTACCGTCTGACTGTACAACTACGTACACCTGGGCAGACTTGTAAATCTGTTCACTGAACATATGTTGCCCTTCAGTGATAACATCCCCCAAAAGTGGGTTATAATGTCACACCTCACTTTTCCGCAAAAGTGAAACAATTACGACACACAAGACATTAAATGTGCCAATAACACGCATGTGAAAACTCAGAGAAAATTGTGAAAAATACCTTTGCCCTAATATGTTAAACTCAGTGTGGTTTTATTGTGTTTGCTTATTTACTCAACATCTACAGCAAAATAAGTTATAATTTTAACTGTTTAAACCAACATACAAAATTACTGTCAAGAAATCCAATTACAGACTTTGTAGCTTTTGTGCCAACTAGCCCCAGTCTCTTATATGCATTAAATGTGTTAATGGTGAAACTTTGATTACAACAATTGGAAGCTTTATGGTATTATTTATCTTTTAACAATTATTTACAACCATTCAGCAGAATTACTGTAGAATCATGAGACTTCCAGAGGTCGTGTTTTAGTCATTTTTTATTATTTTTTTAATCCACTTAAATATACTTAAAATGTAATACCACTTACAACATTGCAAGCTGCTATAAAGCTCAGGATTCATACCGAGTATGCTGTAGCCTATAGTTTAACAATAAAAGAACTAAATGTAGTGACTATGAATTAACGTGAATTATATTGTAAAAATATAAAAGAATAAAACAAAATATATCTCTTTAGTACGAAACATCCAAGGGCACGGTTCCTCTTCTTCTACACCGATGTGTTCTTCCAGCTGCTGTTAAACAAAGAAACATGAGTGAAAAGTTTGAAATTTGAGTCACACAGAAGCTTATATCTGAAGCTCATATTATGAACAGACAATATTTTGTTTCTCTTTTCACGAGGGCAGAACCTGCAGTAAGATAAAGCCCAAACGATAGAGAAAGAGATACTGTTGCACCGCAGCGTAGCTCCCACAGTCACACAGACACGGAAACTTAAACACGGTGCAGTTCAACAAGAGAACTAAATAAAAGTTGTTCTACACTCGATACACTATATAGAGATCAGTAAAAACATGCACTGCGAAAGTGACTCTTTGTCTAAACCGACAATAATATTTCTGTTACCTGATTATCCTCACACGTGTATCAACCACGTTCGAGTGACTGCTGACTTTACGCCTTTTCTTCTTCTTCTAATAACGTTTTATGGCGGATGGCAAACCAACTTCTGGTGCTTCTTCTTCGTCTGCCTAGGTGGATACGACCAAGTAGAAGTGGCATATACCGCCACCTACTGTACTACCTACTGCCATTGAACTCTCCTCTATTACCAGCTCCATATGCAGCAGCACCACCTCTATCTAAAACAGATATCTAAAATCTCTGTTTCCTCTCTATATATACTCTACCACACGTATTATGTCCATATCCTCAATTAGGTTTTACACACAACAGAAATTTCATTTCTCATGTCAATACGTCTAGATCAGGGGTGCCCAAACTCGGTCCTGGAGGGCCAATGTTCTGCAGAGTTTAGCTCCAACTTGCCTCAACACACCTGCCAGGAAGTTTCTAGTATGCCTAGAAAGAGCTTGATTAGCTGGTTCAGGTGTGTCTAATTGGGGTTGGAGCTAAACTCTGCAGGATACCGGCCCTCCAGGACCGAGTTTGGGCACCCCTGGTCTAGATGCTGTTGTGGTTTAAACAGTTGCCAAATCATTAGTCATATCATAATCTTAATGAATACAGATATACACAGACAAAACACACTAAAACAGCTTTTTTATTTCTTGGTTTATACTGATTCCAGTATCTTTGGTCAAACGGAGTGTTATATGCTCATTCATATAATCCTTCTTAGAGGATTTGCCAATCAGATAGGATTGTAAACTATTTATAACCATAGATCCAAATAATTAAGAACAGTATAAATTTGTTTCAATGTTGAGTGTATCAAGGGTAGGAACAAAATGAAGACTATAAATATATTTGTCCTCCGTACATCTCACCACGTATTCAATGAACAGATCCCTTAACAGTAACCCATGATTTAAGGACAAAATAAGCATTTTAAAACCATGTGATATCCACTAATACGGTTGAAAAATATATATATATATATAATTGGGATAACGTGATTTTGTTATGATCAACATGACTGTGAAAACCACCCCTAGTGTTCAATGAAAAATTGGTTTAAAAAGATTCAAGCAATTAAAAAACAAAAAGCATTTCAAAATTCCCATACATATGCAAACACACGTACACCCAACAGTCCCTGAGAAAATTACTGTGCAGCTTCATGTCACATTTCAACAGTTTCCTTAAAATCACACTTTCTTGAAGTCCATTCAAGACCACTTCTAAAAATCAGATCTAGTGCTTTAAGACAGGACACGGTCTGGAGGAAGTTCAATAAGGCTTATTGGACAGGAAACTCTGTAGCATCTGGAGAGATGGACCAGGAGCCCACTGAGGAACCATGTGACCTGCACCCTGGAAGAGCAGAGTTGTATGCCATGCCTTAGTACATGTAAAAATGTCAAACTCATAATACACATACACTACTATATGTCATGTCACTGTATATCATGACAATAACAGTTTGAACTAACTACACCCTGGAAAAGAGCAAGACAGGCTGCATGGATGCCTGAAACGTACCTTGACTGTGAGGAAAGTGATGTTGCCAAATTGCTGGTAGAATCCAGCAATCTGGTTATCATAAATCCAGGGTTGGTATTGAGTGCTTGCCTTGAAGAAGAAGAGAAACTCAATATTAAACCTAGAAGGTGTTACAAATTCTGCAGAGCATCACGTCTCAGAGAACACAGAACTTACCTTCTGTCCAAGCTGCTCAACAAACCACTGGTCCCCAAGGAAATTACAAGCCATATCGGTATCTCCATTATAGACCAAAGCTCTCAGACCCAAAGCCAGCAGCTTCTCATAGACATCCTTCATAGTTTCGTAAATGGTGTGATACTGGCTTCCCACAACATCACTGGATAAAAAAGGAAGAACTCTGTTTGCACACATGCGCTGCTCATGCATACACACACTGAAACTGTATGTGGGGACAGGGGTCAGTTTACCTGCAGATGTCCCATGGTGGTAGTACATCAGGAATGTGCAGCGCCTTCCTCACATCACCTCGATTAAGCCAGTTTATCTGAGCGGTACTATTGATGCATGGAGGCACTCCCTGAACATTTGGAGTACTTCCTACTAACTAAACAAACAAAAGAAAACACATTTCTCCTTTGTTTTTATCTAGTTTATTAAAGTGGATTCTTGGAAGGCTGCATGATCAGATAGAACAAGACTCACCTTATTAGCTTCCCAATGCTTCCTGAAGTTTCTGAACAGATGCATCATGGCTCTCTGAGATGTGACACCACCAGCACAGTCAAGATACAGCGCGTATGTATTCAACCCAGAGTTATAGACTATATTAAACGCATGCGATACCTGCAAAAGACAGAAGACTAGTCACCTTAAATAACCATTGGCAAGGTTGTACAAGAGTTGCAGGCATGTGTGGATGCATTCAGGTTACCACAACAGAGCAGGACTCTTTAGAATTGTTGTAGAAATTACAGACTCCATTTTGACAGCAGTTGTCATTCAGATCCTTCCACAGCCTACAAGCAAAATAATGTAAAAAAAAAAAAAAATCAACAAACATATTTATCAAAATATTTATTGTCAGTATTGCAATATAGATATACACGAGTGGCCACATATAGAAGTAATTGATTAGCTTACTGTTCTCCAAACAGGCCATGATAGTTGCCAAAGTAGATTAGCGATTGGTCATTTAGTGCAAAGCTACTAATGCCATTTCCCACAGCAAAGCCCTGCAAAAACAAACAAATAAATGATAAAAATGAAAAGGCATACATAGATAGATAGATAGATAGATAGATAGATAGACAGATAGATATTTCAACAGAAAACAAAGTATAATTTGTGTTCAAATATTAGTAAACAACATAAATTTTACAGACTTTATGCGTCAGAGAAACAAGTGCGCAGCCAACTTCAGAATTTTGTCTTTGAATTTCCTGAGCTCTATAGCATCTCTGTTTAAGAGTAATGAGCTGGTGAAGTGGATTTATTTATTGTAGAGTTAACCAAAGTTATCATGTGCATTGTAATTTTCGAAGCTGATGTTATAATGAATGTCAGAAGAAGACAACGGGCACAGCGCTAAAAAGTGGCCGAGCTACATAAGGTCTATACACTATATTTAATAATAAATGACATTTTAAAAATGAAACAAGCACATTAAACCTACCTTCTTCATGTCACATTTCAACAGTTTCCTTAAAATCACACTTTCTTGAAGTCCATTCAAGACCACTTCTAAAAATCAGATCTAGTGCTTTAAGACAGGACACGGTCTGGAGGAAGTTCAATAAGGCTTATTGGACAGGAAACTCTGTAGCATCTGGAGAGATGGACCAGGAGCCCACTGAGGAACCATGTGACCTGCACCCTGGAAGAGCAGAGTTGTATGCCATGCCTTAGTACATGTAAAAATGTCAAACTCATAATACACATACACTACTATATGTCATGTCACTGTATATCATGACAATAACAGTTTGAACTAACTACACCCTGGAAAAGAGCAAGACAGGCTGCATGGATGCCTGAAACGTACCTTGACTGTGAGGAAAGTGATGTTGCCAAATTGCTGGTAGAATCCAGCAATCTGGTTATCATAAATCCAGGGTTGGTATTGAGTGCTTGCCTTGAAGAAGAAGAGAAACTCAATATTAAACCTAGAAGGTGTTACAAATTCTGCAGAGCATCACGTCTCAGAGAACACAGAACTTACCTTCTGTCCAAGCTGCTCAACAAACCACTGGTCCCCAAGGAAATTACAAGCCATATCGGTATCTCCATTATAGACCAAAGCTCTCAGACCCAAAGCCAGCAGCTTCTCATAGACATCCTTCATAGTTTCGTAAATGGTGTGATACTGGCTTCCCACAACATCACTGGATAAAAAAGGAAGAACTCTGTTTGCACACATGCGCTGCTCATGCATACACACACTGAAACTGTATGTGGGGACAGGGGTCAGTTTACCTGCAGATGTCCCATGGTGGTAGTACATCAGGAATGTGCAGCGCCTTCCTCACATCACCTCGATTAAGCCAGTTTATCTGAGCGGTACTATTGATGCATGGAGGCACTCCCTGAACATTTGGAGTACTTCCTACTAACTAAACAAACAAAAGAAAACACATTTCTCCTTTGTTTTTATCTAGTTTATTAAAGTGGATTCTTGGAAGGCTGCATGATCAGATAGAACAAGACTCACCTTATTAGCTTCCCAATGCTTCCTGAAGTTTCTGAACAGATGCATCATGGCTCTCTGAGATGTGACACCACCAGCACAGTCAAGATACAGCGCGTATGTATTCAACCCAGAGTTATAGACTATATTAAAGATACCTGCTACCTGCAAAAGACAGAAGACTAGTCACCTTAAATAACCATTGGCAAGGTTGTACAAGAGCATGTGTGGAGTGTGGATGCATTCAGGTTACCACAACAGAGCAGGACTCTTTAGAATTGTTGTAGAAATTACAGACTCCATTTTGACAGCAGTTGTCATTCAGATCCTTCCACAGCCTACAAGCAAAATAATGTAAAAAAAAAAAAAAATCAACAAACATATTTATCAAAATATTTATTGTCAGTATTGCAATATAGATATACACGAGTGGCCACATATAGAAGTAATTGATTAGCTTACTGTTCTCCAAACAGGCCATGATAGTTGCCAAAGTAGATTAGCGATTGGTCATTTAGTGCAAAGCTACTAATGCCATTTCCCACAGCAAAGCCCTGCAAAAACAAACAAATAAATGATAAAAATGAAAAGGCATACATAGATAGATAGATAGATAGATAGATAGATAGACAGATAGATATTTCAACAGAAAACAAAGTATAATTTGTTCAGATAGAACAAGACTCACCTTATTAGCTTCCCAATGCTTCCTGAAGTTTCTGAACAGATGCATCATGGCTCTCTGAGATGTGACACCACCAGCACAGTCAAGATACAGCGCGTATGTATTCAACCCAGAGTTATAGACTATATTAAACGCATGCGATACCTGCAAAAGACAGAAGACTAGTCACCTTAAATAACCATTGGCAAGGTTGTACAAGAGTTGCAGGCATGTGTGGATGCATTCAGGTTACCACAACAGAGCAGGACTCTTTAGAATTGTTGTAGAAATTACAGACTCCATTTTGACAGCAGTTGTCATTCAGATCCTTCCACAGCCTACAAGCAAAATAATGTAAAAAAAAAAAAAAAATCAACAAACATATTTATCAAAATATTTATTGTCAGTATTGCAATATAGATATACACGAGTGGCCACATATAGAAGTAATTGATTAGCTTACTGTTCTCCAAACAGGCCATGATAGTTGCCAAAGTAGATTAGCGATTGGTCATTTAGTGCAAAGCTACTAATGCCATTTCCCACAGCAAAGCCCTGCAAAAACAAACAAATAAATGATAAAAATGAAAAGGCATACATAGATAGATAGATAGATAGATAGATAGATAGATAGACAGATAGATATTTCAACAGAAAACAAAGTATAATTTGTGTTCAAATATTAGTAAACAACATAAATTTTACAGACTTTATGCGTCAGAGAAACAAGTGCGCAGCCAACTTCAGAATTTTGTCTTTGAATTTCCTGAGCTCTATAGCATCTCTGTTTAAGAGTAATGAGCTGGTGAAGTGGATTTATTTATTGTAGAGTTAACCAAAGTTATCATGTGCATTGTAATTTTCGAAGCTGATGTTATAATGAATGTCAGAAGAAGACAACGGGCACAGCGCTAAAAAGTGGCCGAGCTACATAAGGTCTATACACTATATTTAATAATAAATGACATTTTAAAAATGAAACAAGCACATTAAACCTACCTTAAAGTTCACTTTAAGCTGACCTCCAGTGGCAACTCTCAGACTGAGTGTGGGTGCGTAGATGCCTCCATAACTCTCACCAAAAATGAAAAACTCATTCTGGGTGAAATTTGGGAATTTGATGAAAAAGCTTTGCAAAGCCAGGTAGTTGTTATTTGCCACCTAAAGAAACACATTAAGGCTTTACAAAGTCTGTCTTTATAGGCTATTAATATCTATGAATGTTTAGACACTTACCTCATCATCATCGGTTTGATATTTTTGGTCATCGGAGTAGGAATAACCCACTCCAGCAGGCGACTCAAGATAAAGAACATTGGCGATTTTATTCCAGCTGAATTCGTTCTCATAAAGTGTGGCTCCATTATCATTAACCTATGGACACACAGAACAAGCACAATGTTTATTGAGGCATTTATGGTTTTGTGTTGTGCGGAAAAACTATTTAGACCTCAACGAATTAAATTACATAAATGTTTTTTCCCCTCTCTAAACTTTTCAGCTCTTTAGTTCTTAGCTCTTTAAGATTAAATCATGATAAGTATCAACATACATGAAAGGGGCCATTCTCTGACAGAAACCCATCCAAAGAGCTGCAGCCTGGCCCTCCGTTCAGCCACAGCACGACTGGGTCCTTGAGGGGGTCCCTCTGAGACGTCACAAACCTGTAACATATACACACTCTCTTAAATGCAATAATGAATACACAAAACAATTATGTGTTACTGAAGAGACTCAAACCATAGTACATTTACACCAGAGGAAAGTCTCTTTCCACAGTACTACTAGTACTCACAATAACAATTCAGTACCAAAAAAAAAAAAAGTTTTATACATGAACAAAATGTAATACAATGCTTTTCTAGACAGGAACCATACAATGGTATCTATGGATATTGTAATATATACTACTGTCCTAGCTTACATCACAGTACTTCAAAGGACCATGATATCCCCAATATATATATATATAATATTGGGGATATCATGGTCCT